TATATATATATATATATATATATATATATATAAAATGGAGACATGGCATTTATAGGAAGATCTCAACATGTAACTAACATATTTGAGACGATTTCCGCCACAAAAAAATTAAATATTCCACGTATAATGGACCAACATACATTTATGATGAAAGTTACATTTAGATTTTAGAGTAATGCAGAGTTGTGGATTAGTAAAACTACGTCTACTTACATGCATGCAAAGGCAATTTAGGGTTATCATCCCGTTATACCAATTCATTACATATAAGGTGGGGTCGTCCCCTGGTTATGTGGCTCAATTCATTACATATAACATATATTAGGTGAACATCAACTGCATTTCACAACCACACCCACAAGATATTGACTTTTTTTTTTCCCTTTTCCTATTCTTTTGGATAAATATCATCACAAAAAAATATTGAACTATATTTTGGATATTGTATTTGAAGAATGTAACGCGCATTTTAGTCTCGTTTTTATTGAAATATATAATTTTATAAAATAGGCCAATTAGTCTTTTTTTAATATTGTTTCAAAGAAATATTCATGACTTTTGGGCGATAGAACTTTTATAGAATGCGAGAGATGAAGAGTCGATCTTTTTTTACTGCATAAATATTTTTAAAAATATGGAGAGTACTGACATTTGCGCCGTGAAAGGAGGACTGGATATTTTTTTTTCCGGTGAAATGACTGGATGGTATTGATTTTTGTAGATTTATAAATTATATCTATACATTTTAAAATATTGTTTTCATGGAAATATTTAGGATTGGAGAGTAAAATATCTGCTCAATTTTAACAAAGGAAATTAAAAAAAAAAACAAGTATCCTTGTAGTGATAAGAGCCACCTAACTCCATCATTCATAACCATAGGCAACACAATTGTGTTCTATGATTCAAGCCCTGCCTCGGCTTATATTGGACTTTATTTTATTTAAAAAAAAATATTTTTTGTGCATTGCATCTTTTCAAATAATAAAGTTTATTCTTTGTTTTATTTTAAAAAAAAATCAAATATCTAATTTTTTTATTAATATATATAAGAATATATATATATATGTTCGGCCCACACTCGTTGGATGTCAACTGAATATGGGTTTTCTTATACTTTTGGGCTTTGGTTTCTGTTTATTTTTATTTATTCCGCCGCTAAGAGATCATAACAAAATTATAAAAATTAAAGCCCAATCCAGGTAATCGTCTTTCTTTACGGTCTACGTGGCCCAGAGCCCAATACTTCGTGCCGTTTTTATTCCTCCTTGTAAAACAACAAAACTGCGTGACGTTTTTCCCAGTTCCAAATCTTTCACTCGAAACGTCGTCGTCTCGTAACTATGTACCAAAGGAGAGCGTGAACGCGGCGAATATAAAAACTTACATAATATGTCTCAAATTCATCTTCTGTATTTATTAAAGAGAGTTTGTTTTTGGATATATATATATATATATTACATGAAAAAGAATGTTATTGTGTATATATATATATATATCCTAGTTTTGACAATTTAAACATTAGTAAGAGTGAAATTATTTTGCACTGTCTGATACCCTTTTTACTTGTTGGGTAAACAAATTACTTGTGATCTGAATATACGTATAAAAAAAAAGAATATTACTAATAATTAGATGAAATTTGAAAATAGAATTATGAGGACGTCTTTTAATGGTTGAGTGAAAGAGTCCTTGGATCCCCTGACAAGACGTGCCTACAAAAACATGTTGTAGTTTGAGTTGTTTTCATATGCCCTTTCCCTAAAAATCCAATTTCTATATATACACACACATACATATATATATATATATATATATGGTACTCTTCATAAGTATCCTTATTATAATTATCTACAAATGCATAAGTACCCTTTATTTATTATACATAACAAACCAAATCATATTTTTCAACCTTTCGCCAGTTGGAAAATTCATATATTTGCAAATCATACGCCCCCGAGTCTTCAATTCTAAGTTGACTTCATCTTTTTTTTTTGTCTTTCTTTCAAATTTATGACCATTTCAAACGGAAATAAATAAATAAATAAAATAAAAACAAGAGGGCCATTCGAATTAAGTCCAAGGAAATGAAATGGCGGTCCATGTCATTTTGTATTTTGGATAATAAGGTACGACTCGTGTCATTTGAATAGTTTAACATCTATACAACTGTATGCATAATATTCAAGTACAAGTACGTTTTATTTATTCTACTTTATATATATATATATGTATATACGTACATACAATTCAAGTTTACTTTCCAATCAATTGGTGATTGATTTTACACAGTCAAACTACAATCTAAATCAGTATCATATAAAAAGATGCTGCCATTCGAACCACTCAATCACTCTGTATTTTAAGAAATATATTGATTTTTGTATTTATCTTCGATAAATTTAACATTTCTCAAATAAATAAAAGTATCAATTTTTTTTATTTCTTTTTGGGTTCAAATAATACATAATAGTCACAAACAAACGGGGCCCAAAGATTAGGCCTTTTTAAACGCTCAGATCCAACGGCCCATATTCCATCTGTACCACATTTTCCTCGACGCATTTCTCGCTTTCCCACTCCCTTCCTTCTTTTACCTCCCTAAACCTACACCCGAATTCTAAATCGCATCTCTCTCCCTCTCTCTGATCTGAGATATTCTGTGTTTGGATCGATCCTTCGAAGGACCAACAATGGCGGTTTCGACTCGTGAGGAGTACGTCTACATGGCCAAGCTCGCTGAGCAGGCGGAGAGGTACGAGGAGATGGTGGAGTTCATGGAGAAGGTCTCCGCCTCCGTCGAGAACGAGGAGCTCACCGTCGAGGAGAGGAATCTCCTCTCCGTCGCCTACAAGAACGTCATCGGTGCCCGCCGCGCCTCCTGGAGGATTATCTCCTCCATCGAGCAGAAGGAGGAGAGCCGCGGCAACGACGACCACGTCGCTGCCATCCGCGAATACAGGTCTAAGATCGAGTCGGAACTCTCTGGGATCTGCGACGGCATCCTCAAGCTGCTCGACTCCAGGCTCATCCCTTCCGCTGCGTCCGGCGACTCCAAGGTGTTTTACCTCAAGATGAAGGGTGATTACCACAGGTACTTGGCCGAGTTCAAGACCGGTCAGGAGAGGAAGGACGCCGCCGAGAACACCCTCTCTGCCTACAAATCCGCTCAGGTTTTGTCTTTCTCCGTTTCCTCTTTCGAATATCGGCATTTTGGTTCCAGATCTGGTCGATTTCGGGCATTGTTCTGTGGTTTGTGGCTATCGTCTCGACAGATTTCGATAGGTTTATCGTATTAGAACTTCAGTTTTCTGCTGGATTCGTTTTTTTCTAATTGAGTTCAAGCGTCTAATCATTCGGAAATCGTGCATTATGATTCTCATTCGCGGTTGATCCGAAAAACTTTTGTTTTTTTTTTGCCTCGATTGATTTTCCGATTCTGATCTAGATCCGTCTGATTCGAGGAACTGTTGTTTGTGGTTTTCTTCGTTGTTTAGATAGATCTCCTCAATGTTTTGTTCATCTTTTGCAGGACATTGCCAACGCAGAGCTTGCTCCAACTCACCCGATCCGACTCGGTCTCGCACTAAACTTCTCCGTGTTCTATTACGAGATCCTCAATTCCCCCGATCGTGCTTGCAACCTTGCTAAACAGGTTAACTTCTTTGTCTTCCATTCCACGTGGAATTGTCAGACCAAAATGTTTCGTGTGAAATTGCATGTAGATGGATAGCGTTTTTCCTTGAAAAAACCCATCTCTTTTGCTCATCATCACCACAGAGGACAGAAGCTAAGCTAGTAGGAGAGAAAACTAATAAAGATACAGGTTTCTGACACAAATTTCATCTTCATCGAGTGACTTTGTTTTCTTTGTATTCATATCAGGCATTTGATGAAGCCATAGCCGAGTTGGACACACTGGGTGAGGAGTCCTACAAGGACAGCACCTTGATCATGCAGCTCCTCCGTGACAACCTTACTCTCTGGACCTCCGACATGCAGGTCTTGTATCTATCCAACCCTACCATCATCCCATCATCAACATGTCTATAATATATATGTATATGTATATTTATACCCGTTGATGTATTATACTTTGTCCATGGATACTGAAACTCTGCAACTTGTTGGATCAGGATGATGCTGCGGATGAGATCAAGGAAGCAGCAGCATCAAAACCCGTCGAGGAACAGCAGTGAAAAATCTTTGCTTGAACTGCTAGTTTTAGGGTTTGGAACCTCTTCCCCCTCTCTCTGATGTTTTTATTCAAAAAAAAAAAAAAAAAAGAGGCCGTTTTCTTTATCTGGATTGTTTGTTTTCCACCTGCTTCCTCTTGGGTCCTTTTGCTCGATATCTATGTTTCTTTCCTTCTTTTCACTTGAACTCCGTTATGTTCTCGCGATATGAATGAAGATCATGAAGTTTTTTTTTTTTTTTGGTTAAATGTGTTTTGTGTTTTTTGAGTATATTTCATCTAATAACACACTCGTCATTCATGGGGGACTTCTGAATAATTGGTTTGAAATTTCAACGAATAAAGAAAGTTATTGCATCGTGGTGGCGGTCCAATACAAAAATATCCGGAATATGAGACATTTCTTTCAGCATTATTGCATTTTTGAATTACAAAAAAACTTGACTGTTACAATCTTCCGATTCTGGAAGAAGGGTCTATGATGCTCTTTTTAGGACAAGACAAGAACCTCAACCAAAACACAACTCAACTTAAAAACACAGATGGTGAATGCACTGAATGGATGATCCATTTGCCTAAACTATGATAAGCCCAAAAAAAAAAAACTGCTGTTAGAGTTAAAGTTTCTTCCTTTTCTCCTGCCCTTGTTTCTACACTGAACAAGCATCCAAAAAAAAAAATTGTGCAAAAAGAGAAAATATGAATTTAACAAATCCACCACCGCCACTAATGATGTACAAAAAAAAGGAACAAAAGAGACCCAAGAGTATTTTCGTCACGTTTCTGCTTCCCTATGAAACGACACCGTTTTCTGAGATGTGTTTGTATTTGACGGTCAACGGCCTTTGTATTTAGGGCTTTGGACCGGCACCGTCGTCGGAGATAAAGGAAACCCTAGCTGCCCTGCCGTCGGCGATAACAGTATGCTCGGCGATAGTAGCGCGTACGGTGACTTCGGCGAGCTCAGACACCCCAACGGCGGCGACGGGATAGACGCCGCCGTCGCCGGCGGATGGTGGATGTTCTGCAGAGGAGGAGCGTTCTCCTGCTTCTGGTACCACCGGGGAGAGACCAGGGGAGCTAACGGTGAGAACCCCGAGAACTGCTTCTGGTTCGAATCCACGCCTGGCATCGAGTTCTGGAGGTACCGCATGTAGGCGGAGACCGGCGACTCCGCCGCCGCGTGCACCGGCGGGAGCGGAGGGAGAGGCGATAGCGGCGGCGGCGCTGGGCGGGGAATGAATCCCGCCGTCGCGGAGGTCATCGGAATCCCGGGGTTGGGAACAGGGTTGAAGAGGGCGCCGTTTAGCAAGGGAGGTGGGCGATTGCTAATGTTCGCCAGTGGCGGAGGTCGGATCCTCTGGAGGCGCGAGCTCTGGGGCTTGGGCTGGTGAATCGCGGGCGGATGCTGATGCGTCGGAGCAGAGATCCGTTCGTGCGCCGGCGATCCGGTGAGTCTCTGGACCACATCTCTGAAATCGTTCTTGTTGATGTTGTAAACAGGAGGCTGATGCTGGTGGAGATTCCCCTGATTACTCGTCGCCGGCGGCGGAGCCTGGTGGTGGATACTCGGATTCAGGTCGAATCCCGGTCGTTTCACGGCGGAGGCGACGGTCGTCGTCGGTTTGGAAATCTTGTGGGAAAACTTGTTGAGCTGTCTCAGGTAATGATCTCTGTTTTCGGTGCTACTTGCGGCGGAGGAATCGCCGGAGGAGTTGCAGCTCTTATCCATTAGAAACAAGATCGACCCAGCTGCTCTCGTCCTATTATAAGAACAAATATAGCTTTCCTCCTCTGCTTCTTCGATTTCCTTTGTGCCAGATTTGGCAGAGAGAGAGAGAGAGAGAGAGAGAAGACGAGGAGATGATGAAATGGCCTTTTCTCTTCTTTTTATTTTTTCCCCTAATTGTTTTTTTTTTAAATCTGAGGCTCATTATTAATAATAAAAATAATGTTATTTATTTATAATATATGGTCTAAGATGACTTTGTTTTGGATTTTTTCTAGAATAAGGGGGAAAAGGAAATGATTTGTCTCTATGTTGGATTCTCCCCTAAATTTTGTATGCAATAAATACACATATCATATATGTGTATGTTTTCATTCGTTCGTCTTTTAAATGTATTAATAGTTACTCTATTTTAGACTTTTCCCCATCTGAATCGACCGTCACTATATATCCTTTATATTTCAATAATGTTTTTTCTGATAATATATAATCGTCGAAGCGAATCTACTAAGTGCATGTTTAAACTCGGGATTATTGTCTCCATGTTATAATTTTCAGTGTTTTTTTTTTAAATATTATGATTTTTAGTTTGATAGATCAATTTCACCTAATGACCATAATTCCTCTCTCGCGTATGAAGACATATTGAATTTTAATAAGTTTAAAAAATACACGTGTATTATGTGATCGCCAACTATCATCATTAAGAGAAAACAAATTCGTTGGAGATTTATAATTTATTTGTTTAATTTTTTGTGTGATATTAATGACATAATCAAATTTCTTAATTGTTGTTTTCAAGTAAATGACTTAATATTCAAATAGAATAAAGCGAAAAAAAATACACAAAAATCAAAATAGAAATAGACTTTTTAGTTCTCTTCTTTTTAAGTTTATTTTCTCTTAATTTCGTTTTTGTACCTAAAGTAAAAGCTTACAAAAAAAAAAGACAAACAAACATGAACCGTACCATTGCCGCGAGACATGCATAGCATTCGCATTATCACCTAATTTATTATTTGTATAGCCATATTTTTTTTTTAAATTTGGAAATCCAATCATTAACATCATCTGCCTAACAATTTATCTCATATTAAAACTATCAATTATAAAAACTTTTAACCACTCATTAAATCAGTCATTCATTTCAATGGATGCTGAATATCGTTACTGTAATAAATTGCACTAATCATATCAACGGGTCCTCGAGCAATAACTTCGTGTCAATGCCCTAAAGAAATATGTTTGTTTTCGGGTAAATGTCTATTTAAGAAGACGATACATATATATATATACACACACACACACACTTTGGCTGCTATTTCAAAATATGTATTAAATAATGTATTATTCAAATGGTATATTTAAAAAATAATAATAATAGACAGCTTATGTGTGTAACGTCCAAAAAAAAAAGAGTACGGGTAAGCGGGTCGGGCTATTCAACGCCCGTTTTCGGTCAAAAGCTCTGAATGTACTTGCGAAAACGACAGGGGCACTTCTTTATTGGGAGGCGTGATCCTCTACTTTGCGAAATCCCTACCGTACACCTGGAACCATCTCCACGTCAGCTCGGGAATTGATCCGACGGCTTATATTTAACCATGTGATCTGGGAGACAGCTGTCACGTGATTTGAACGTTCTCCCCTTTTCCTCCGAAATTCTAAATCATTGGTAATTAGGATATTTAATCACGGATTAGCATGTTATTAATTAGGGTCTGCCCCTCTCCATGACAATGCCATCTGTACTACAACGGTTACGTTATTCACAGTAAAGGATTGTTATTTATGCAGAATTTTATAAAGTCCTAACCTTTAAAAGTGAATCTCTTTATATAACATATATATATACATATGGTTACAGAACAATATGCCACGTAAGCGTACCATCTTAGTGCGTGCGTGGCATCACATTTTTTTTCCTTCTGCACCGACCGCATTCCAATTGATGCCCTTGTCGTTGTAGGGTCCCCTTTTTCATTTTCATACCGCATGTTATTACATTTTTATTATATATATATATATATATATATATATATATTATAGATAAGGATCCGTTATGTTATGGTATGCTTAAAGAAACATTCTTATATTTAATCCGTTCTTGATTTCGTTTATTTCATGCCTCATGCCTCGTGTTTTAGGCCAATTGTCATCAAATGGGCCAATACCCAACGTAGACTGATGGCCCAATAAAGGCTCAAATCACTGTTTTATAACTTTGATACTGTTACAGTATCCCCTTCCTTGCACTTGCGGGTTCCGGCTCTAAAACCCTAAACCCCAAAAAGTTCTGTCCGTTGTAATTCAAATGCGAGCTTCAATTCACGCCTCTTCGGGTCGGCCGAGATTGTTCAGACTCTAATCGCATGTATGTTGAGGTAAAATTGTATGGATTATCTGTTCATCTTCTTTGTTCATGTCCCTCTTAAGCATTCGTGTATGTGTTCATTCGTGGGTATTCATATGTGCGTACTTATACTCAGCTTGCGAATTTGATGGGTTTTGAAATTCTTGACGTAATTTCTATGTTCAGATTGGTTCCGACCTGCGAAGGTGGAAGCTTTGCTGGAATCTTCCGGTCGATTGGAGCAATTTACCGAGAATTTTCGACACTTGGAAATGCTTTGGAAGTTCGTTCGACTAATCGAGATGAACACGAGAGTAAACAGATCGATTTTGACATCCTATTTGGATCGTGCACTAATTTGCAGTTTGCCAAGCGCCTTCATGCGCGTTTGGTTGTATCCAGTAGAATACGAGATGTCTTCATCTCTGTTAAACTCGTTAACCTTTATGCATACCTCGGAGATGTTGCATTGGCTCGGGGCACGTTTGATCGTATCCACAACAAAGATGTTTATGCTTGGAATTCGATGATTTCTGCTTATGGCCGTGTTGGATATTCCACAGAAGCTATCAGGTGCTTTAGCCTGTTTATGTCGAAATCGGGTCTTTGGCCTGATTTCTACACTCTCCCTCCGGTCTTAAAAGCTTGTAGGGATCTGCTCGATGGAATGAAGCTTCACTGTTTGGCACTGAAGTTTGGGTTTGAGTGGGACGTCTATGTTGCTGCATCTTTGGTTCATATGTACTCAAGGTTCGGGCTTGTGCTCGATGCACGTAAGCTATTTGACGACATGCCTATTCGGGATATGGGTTCGTGGAATGCAATGATTTCCGGGTATTCTCAAACCGGAAATGCGAAAGAGGCGTTGCATCTTGCAGATGAGATGAGAGCCAAAGGGGTAAATCAAGATCCAAGAACCATTGCGAGTCTCCTTTCGGCGTGCGCAGAGGCAGAGGATCTTAATAGAGGAAAATCGATTCATCTATACTCTGTAAAACACGGGCTGGATTCCGAGCTGTTTGTTGCTAATGCATTGATCAACATGTACTCGATCTTCGGTAATTTAGGTGACTGCCAGAAGATGTTTGATGAGATGATGATCATCAGGGATGTTGTTTCGTGGAATTCGATAATTAAAGCTTACGAGCAGAATAAGAAGCCCCTTACAGCGGTTTGGTTGTTCAAGGAGATGGGAAAGAACGGTATTCAATACGATCGTCTGACATTGATTAGCTTGGCTTCTGCCCTTGCTCAATTGGGTGACAGCCTTGTTAGTAGATCTGCCCATGCTTTCACACTGAAGAAAGGATGGTTCTTCGAAGATGTTACCGTCGGTAATGCGGTTGTGGATATGTATGCGAAATTAGGCCTCGCGGATTCTGCAAGAACGGTGTTTGATTGGCTCCCGGCTAAAGATGTGATTTCGTGGAATACAATTATATCTGGCTATGCGCAAAACGGTCTGGCTACTGAAGCGATCCAATTGTTCAACCTGATGGAGGAAATCGGAGAAATAACCCCGAACCAAGGGACTTGGGTGAGCATTCTACCTGCTTATTCCCACCAGGGAGCGTTGCATCAAGGCATGAAAACCCATGCCCGTGTCTTGAAGAACCGCCTCTATCTGGATGTTTTTGTTGGGACCTCTCTTGTCGACATGTATGGAAAATGTGGGCAGCTAGACGACGCGCTCTCCTTGTTCTATGAGATCCCTAGATTCAGCTCGGTGCCATGGAACGCCATAATATCGTGCCTCGGGGGCCATGGACATGGCCGGAAAGCAATGATGCTGTTCAGAGAAATGCTCGACGAGGGAGTGAGCCCTGATCACTTAACGTTCATATCTCTACTCTCGGCCTGTAGCCATTCAGGTCTGATCGAGGAGGGTCAATGGTGCTTCGACGTCATGCAAGAAGATTACGGCATAACCCCGAGCTTGAAGCACTACGGTTGCATGGTCGATCTATACGGCCGGGCTGGTCATATAGAAACCGCGTATAGCTTGATAAAAGGTATGCCGCTCCGACCCGACTCCTCCATCTGGGGCGCCCTTCTCGGTGCCTGTAGAATCCATGGCAATGTCGATCTGGGCAAGATTGCTTCGGAACATCTGTTCGAGGTCGATCCCGAGAATGTCGGGTATTACGTGTTATTGTCGAACGTGTACGCAAGTGCCGGAAAATGGGAAGGAGTGGATAAAGTCCGAGCCTTTGCCAGAGACAGAGGGCTGAGGAAGACGCCAGGTTGGAGTTCGATGGAACTGGGCAACAAAGTCGAAGTCTTTTACACGGGAAACCAGACACATCCCAAGTGGAAAGAGATCTATGACGAACTAACTGAACTGAACTCGAAAATGAAGATGCTTGGTTATGTCCCAGACTACAGTTTCGTACTGCAGGACGTGGAAGATGACGAGAAAGAACAAATCTTGATGGGTCATAGCGAAAGATTGGCGATTGCGTTTGGGATTATAAGCACTGGGAAGGGGACTGTGATTAGGATATTCAAGAACCTTCGTGTGTGTGGAGATTGCCACACGGTGACCAAATTCATATCGAGAATCACTGGGAGAGAGATCGTGGTTAGGGATTCGAACCGGTTTCATCATTTCAAGGATGGAATCTGTTCTTGCGGCGATTACTGGTGAGTGAACGTTTTGTACAAATATTGATTGATGGAATCTTGTTTGAAATGAGTGATTCCATTTGATGTACCAATAAATATTTTTATTTTTTTTAAATGTGGTTTTGAATATTTTTGTTACAAAAAGACTCCTCATATTTCGTATAGCCAACTACCACCCTTTTTTTTGGAAAAATATTTAAAAATTTCCAAACTTGTAATTTGGTGAAATAATAATTAGTATTACTACTCCATCCGTTTCAAAATATTTGTAGTTTTAAGTTATCTTTTATGTTTCAAAATATTTGTCATTTTATATTTTTAATATATTTTTTACAAAAAATTTCAATTTTATCCCTATCAAATTCCGATATACTATTAATGATAACATTGTTTTTATTATCAATTAAGAGTTTTTCTATCTTTTTTTAAAAAATGTGAAGTAACCTAAAATAACAAATATTTTGAGAAGATGGAGTATATATTTTCAAACTTGAAAAAAAGTCACTCAATAATGTCTAATGTTGTATATTGGTGTTATCGTGATATTATGGGGATCTACGAGTTCGTTTTTTTTTAACGGATCGACAGAAATATTAGACAGTGGAGCCATCAAACGATGCGCTATAAATAAGTATATCTCAATTTTATGTCGGAAAAAAAAAAAGTAGTTTGACTTTGGGGTCACTACAAATTATAACATAAAATTCGGAATCTGTATGTTGAATGTTGATAAAGGAGCAGGTAATTGCAAGACAAGAAGATGGGTAGCCTATCATCTTCTCATCAATTATAGTAGGTTAGGTTATTTATTGGCATATATATATATATATATTTTGCGTGCAAGTGTGCACGTGTATTGTGTGATGAAATAGTAAAAAAAAAAGTAAATTATTACTAAATGAATTTATTTCAGGGCAGTGTTTAAACTTTAAAGTGGGGGTGAATATTTCGAGATTCTTTTTGGTATTTATTCCGAAGTATAAAAACAGAACCGAATCTTAATTGGTTCGGTTTGATTTTAATATCGGTTATATTCGGTTTGATTTCATCGTATGAGTGCCAATTAAAAACCAAAATTTCATATTTACACATAAATTCATACATAATTATGAATAAATCAGGCTTTTATCGAGTTCGGATCGTTGATTTATCGATTCGGGTTGATAACTGTTTATTTGATTCTATAAAAATTGTACCAAATTAATATCAAATGTTATTCCGTTCGGTTTTGGATCCAGATTTCCTGGCCAAAATGCTCATGCCTATTTTAAAAGGCCAAGATAAGATGCCGGGACGATATCAACCTCCCCCCCCCCCACTCTCTCTCCCCCC